CTGTTGCTATGTGCTGACTCAGATCATCCTCCTATAGAAATCACTGGAAGCTGCCAGCAGATGGCCGTGTACCCTGTCAGCTGTTTAGCTGCTGTGCTGACTCAAAGCATCCGCCTATGGAATTCCTTAGAAGTAGCCTGCCCCTAGATAAGAGATGTTGGACCCTACATAGCACTCCCCACCTGGGCCATCGAGGCGCTGGCTGGTTTGTGCAGTGACTGGTTGGGGCTGTGTCTGCACCATCCCACCCTGGCAGGTGCCTGGGGAAGGCGGTCAGCTACTCAGAGCCCAGCCCTTAGTGGTCAGATGCTCTGAGCCCAGCCACCTCCAGTGGGGCAAAGGACAGACAGGAGAGCAAAGCAGGTGACTCCAGGGGAGGACCAGTGACCCCAGGGAGGACCAGCACTGTGGGGGTGCTATGCCCATCTTCCTGGGCTCCAGTCAAGGGAGCCGTGGGCCTCCTTCCTCCTGATCCATCCCAGGTGTAGCAGACTGAGTGGCCTTGACCCTGGCCAGGGAACAGGGCATATCCCCAGGCGTGGTCCCAGCCCAGGACACCCCTGTCAGCAGACAGTGCAGCTGAGCTACTTGCACCTGGAGCCACCTCTGGCCTTTAAGGGCCAGGTGAGCATCAAAGGGGCCCTCCTCCACCTGGGGTCACGTGGGTGTCACCCCGGCCCAGCTCCTCCACCTGGGGTCACGTGGGTGTCACCCCGGCCCAGCTCCTCCACCTGGGGTCACGTGGGTGTCACCCCGGCCCACCCCCTCCACCTGGGGTCACCTGGGTGTCATCCCGGCCCAGCTCCTCCACCTGGGGTCATGTGGGTGTCACCCCGGCCCAGCTCCTCCACCTGGGGTCACAAGGGTGTCACCCCGGCCCACCTCCTCCACCTGGGACCTGGGTGTCTTGAGGCCTGACCACCTGACCCCGGTGAAGTGAAGCCTGCCCCGCCCTCATCCTAAGGTGCACAGGCATCCGGAATCATGACGGTACCCTGCCTCTCTCCTAGACCAGCTTGGGGTTTGAAGGCGGAAGAGGGGACCTTTGTCCACATCCCCCGCTGTGGAGGCAAGAAGTGATGGCTGGGGTTAGAGGCCGGATGGGAGGGGCTTACACATACCTTGGGTGCTGGGCCCGCACCTGCCTCCCACAGCAGCACAGCCACCAGGCTGGTGACCACAAGGAGCCTGACAGGGCCAGAGAGGGAAGAGTGAGGCAGGGGAGGCGCCAGCTCTGCCGTCAGCCCCGCCTCCCCTGAACTCCTGACAGCACCCCCACTGGGCAGGTGGTGAGGCTGGGCTCAGGCCGCCTGGCCCCGGCCTGGGCTGGGTTTCTCCTTGGGAGCGCAAGTAGTTTTATTGGACTCTGCTCACATGGGCCAAGCCTCACAGGCACAGAGCAGGGAGAAGCCCCAGGCTCACCTGCCTCCAGCCCACCCCCGGCCAGAGCCCACAGCCCAGCCTGATGGACGCCTCTGTGGCAGGCCCTGGTGGTCAGCTCAGGAACTCCAGAGGTTCTGCCATGTCCACATGCGGACCAAGGGAACAGGAACACACTTGCACACGGCGTGAGTATGGAGCAGCGGGGGCCCACAGCCCACAGAGGACGCACACCGCCGTAGGTGGGGCACCTCCTGCATCCCAGAGCTGCGGGGCCACGGCTGGAGGGCTCCTGGATGAGCCGCAGCACCATTAGGCAGGCAGGCAGGGTGTTGGGTCTGTTTGGACGAATGACGTGTGTGTGTTCATGTATGTGGTGAGGGGAGTGTGTGTGCGTTGTGGGTGCACAGGTGTGTTTGTGGGTGTGGGCTGTGTACATGTGTTTCTGCATGGTGAATTGCATGTATGCTGTGGGTGGTGTGGTCGGGTGTGTATGCACTGTGTGCATGGGTGTGTGTGGTGTGGAGGGTGTGGGTCTGGGGGGAGTGTGCTGTGTGTATGTTATGTGAATTGTGTTTGTGTGTGTGTGGTGGATGTGTATGTTGTGCGTGGTATGGAGGGCATGGTGGTTTGTTATGTACACGAGTGTCGTCGTAGATGTGTGTGTATCTTGTGTGTGCTGTGTTTGGGGAGTGTGTGGGGTGTGTGTGGTGGATGTGTGTGTATGTTGTGTGGTGTGGAGTGTGTGGGTTTGAGGGTGTGTGTGTGCTGTATATGTTATGTGTGTTGTGTTTGTGTGTGTCTGTGATGTGTGTGTGGTGGATGAATGTGTGTTTTGTGCGTGGTGTGGAGTATTTGGGTTTGGGGATGTCTGTGTGCAATGTCTGTGTGTGGGGGGATGCATATGTTGTGTGTGGTGTGGAGTGTGAGGGTTTGGGGGTGTGTGTGTGTGTGTGTGTGTGTGTGCACGCCCATGTGGTGTGTTGTAGATATGTCTCTTCAGGGCCCTGCTGGGGAGGCTTCTGTCTGGGGAGGCTGCTGTCTGCCAGGGCGCCGTGGTCCTGGGGGTGGGCTGGGGGTCTGGTTTGCACGGAGCTCAGCAGGGCTGCAGTCAGGCTGCGTCGGGGGCTGGACGCAGTGGTTCAGAGCCATAATCCCAGCACTTTGGGAGGCCGAGGCGGATGGATCACTTGAGGTTGGGGTTTCGAAACCAATCTGGCCAACATGGTGAAACTTCGTTTCTGCTAAAACTGCAAAAGCATTTTAGCTGGGCGTGGTGGCAGCTGTAATCCCAGCTACTTGAGAGGCTGAGGCAGGAGAACCGCTTGAACCCAGGAGGCGGAGGTTGCAGTGAGCCGAGATCGCATCATTGCACTCACTCCAGTCTGGGCGACAGAGTGAGACTCTGTCTCAGAAAAAAAAAAAAACTTAGCTGGACATGGTGGTGCACGCCTGTAATCCCAGCTGCTTGGGAGGCTGAGGCAGGAGAATCACTTGAACCCAGGAGGCTGAGGTTTCGGTGAGATGAGATTGTGCTACTGCACTCCAGCCTGAGCAACAGAGTAAGATTTTGCCTCAAAAAAAAAAAAAAGCCCGTGTGTGGGGCGCCCTGCAGTCCTGGGGTGCAGCCCCACAGGGACCTTCGTGCCTTCTCTGGGTGACTCAGCCACTGTGGGAAGTCAAAGGGCAGGGGGGTGCCCCAGACCGCCCGGGGTTGAGGGCCTGGCCTGGCCTGGTTTGGGGGCCCTGCTTCTCCTCAGGACCCCCGGCTGGCTCTGATGCTGGGCCGGGGACATCCACAGCAGGGCTCTTGTCCGAGCATTGGACCCCACTCCCACTTCCACCTGCCTGGGACACCCCTAGAGTCCCCTCCCCATGACACACGGCCTGGGGGCCCAGGGTTCGGGACACGGTAGCCACCAGTGCAACAGTGGGTGGAGACTGCCAAGCAGCCTGGCCTTGGGAACCCTGGGGGTCTCCTCTTCAGGCAAATGGCCCAGAGGCCACCTTGCTACAAGGGAGAAACACCAGGAGAGGAGGGGCAGGGAGGGCCTTGGCTTAGAGGAGGGGGAAGAGGAGGAGGGCAGCCCTACAAAAGGAGAGAGGGGACCCCGACAGAAGGAAGGCAGCCTCTGATTCAAGGTCCAGCTGGAGCTCGGGTGCTTCCCTGAGCTCCAAATCCCAGCTCCCAGGGTGACACCACCTCAGGGCACCCCTGACTCCTGCCCTAGCCCCTCCCCACCCCCAGCCCCCTTCCTTTTGGACAGTCACAGCCCTGCCTGCTGGTGCCTCCCCCTTCCTTGCCCCGGGTCAGGGGTCCTTGGGTGATTCTCCACCAGGTCAGGGGAACCGAGGGGACAAGGTGCTCTCCCATGCACTCGGGGCCACAGAGGAGGTGGAGCCTGGTGGCAGACCCCAGACCCTCAGAGCCCCTCCTTCTCCCTCCCACCCATACACTCCCCTAAACCAGGCCCCCTGGAGCGCAAGCAGCACAGCCGGGCCCCCTCTGTCTAAGGGCCAGGACTCCAGGTTTGGGTGGGGTGGGGTGGGGATTGGGGCTCAGGGCCAGTGGGCGTTACCTCCTCATGTCTGGGGTCCCCATCTCTGTGTAGAGTGCTCAGGGAGCTGCAGTTGCTGGTCCCAGTCTCTGGCACCCAGCCCAGCTCCTGCCCAGGCCCAGGCCGCCCGGGCTTTATTGCTGCCGCCTGGGGTGTGTCAGGACAGAGGTCAGGGCGAGGGACGCCACGTGGCTGCGCACGTACCCAGGTGCCCGGCTCCACAGCCACCCGGCACGCTAGAGCCTGGCCCTGATCAGGAACACCCCGCTGCCCCGGGCAGGGCCCGCCACACCTGACTGAGGAAGAAAATAAGCTTTTATCTGAGGAATGTGGGTCCTTTACGAGATCAGCCAGAGAGGCCTTGGAATGAGACCAACTGACACCACGTGGCCATAAGTCAACCTGATGGTGCAGCACATGAGACCATCGCGCAGACCCCAGAGCCCAGCAGCATGGAGCCTCCCGAATGTCCTCCCTGTAGACAGTGGGAACTGCTGACAAACAAGTTGGTATGGGCCACTTCTTTGCCCCCTTTTTTGCCTTTAAAATCCTGCTTGTGGGCCCGGCGTAGTGGCTCACGCCTGTAATCCCAGGCTGAGGCAAGTGGATCCCTGAGATCAGGAGTTCGAGACAGCCTGGCGAAGGTCGTGAAACCCCGTCTCTACTAAAAATACAAAAATTAGCTGAGCATGGCGGCACGTGCCTGTGATCCCGCCACTCGGGAGGCTGAGACAGGAGCCTGCTGCACCACACTCCAGCCCGGGTGACAGAGTGAGAGTCCATCCCAAAGGAAAAACAAAATAAACGAAGAAAACAGCTTATACCCAGAATATAAAAAGAACTCTTACAACTGAACAACAGAAAACAATGCAACTGAAAACTATTCAAAACATTTGCACAGACGTGTCACCACGTAAGATTTACAAATGGGGACCCTCACCAGCACCACTTGGCACCACAGCGGCACTCCTGCAAGACGGGGCGATGGGTGATGGGCCGTGCCCCTAACAATGGTGACCGCTCAGCGTGGATGAAACGCGGCATGTCCATGAGTTCACAGGGTAACAATGGCTTACGGTTTAGCAATGAAAACGCATGCTCCCGTCGCTGCTGACCACCCACAGCTGGGAGCCGCACTCGGCCAAACACCTGTGGGCACCTGCTGCGTGTTGAGCACCGTGCAGACTCCACAGGGAATCCTTGGGGCTCGTGGGAGCCAAACCCAGCTGGGCCTGAACCAGCACAGAGGCGGAGGGGACGGGGGAGTCTGACCATCCAGCCAAGGTCCATCTGGAGACCCCTGGGGGGCCCAGACCAAGGGGCAGCCAGGGCTGAGCTGGCCAGGGTACCCGCCCCTGCAGAGGTGGGAGC